GCGGCGCTCCGAGCGGGGTCATCTGGCAATCTCCGGCCACCTAAATTTGGACCCGTAGACTGCCAGATGACCCCGCTCGGAGCGCCGCACACCGGAGCAGCAGTGACGCGACGCTCGGCGAGGTAAGTAAGATGACACATGGCGCTGACTCGAGTATAAGCCGAGGGGGGCACTTTTCACCCAAAAAAATGGGCTGAAAATCTCGGCTTATACTCGAGTATATACGGTACCTTCTGCAAAAACCAAAATGTCATAATGTTCCAATACCATCATTTGGAGTTTTATATGCAAATATTAACTCTTCCTGTATAAAGCTGACTTTTGAGTCTCTATATTGACATCCACTTTAACATCTATTGATGGCATTCTTGGCACAGAAGTGTTTACTGGTTTACAGACAGGTACTGCTAGTGACAATTTCAAGTACTGATGATTTTAATGTTTAAACCTGAACTCTGGTCAGGTACAAAGAAAACACCATGTAATACAGTCATGTAATAAATATAAATCTGTTTAAAACATCTCTGAAATTAGTGAAAGTAAACACATTAAAAAGGGGAACTATGGGGTGAGCGATTTCCACTTATCCTCATAGTTAGAGCCGGCCTGTGACAAAGAGGCTGCCACAGGTCAGCTCTATAGATCGGGAAGTGAGCAGGAACATGCCGTCGATCCGCTCACTTCCTAATCGTCTCCCTGCAGTGAGCAGTGACTGGCAGTCAGCGTTCTCTGCAGCGATTCCGCCCTCCCCTCTCCGATCCTCCAGCACTGAGTGGAGGAAGGAACGGGGGAGTGGGCGGGCACAGCTGACTCTGCCTCTAGATAGGCAGTGCCAGCTGTCACTCACGCAGCTGGGTGGATCTCAACAGTATCCGCTCCAGCTGTGACACTCAGTATATCGCGGGCTGAGCTTTGGGTCACAGGAGGAGGTTAGTATATGTCCTCCTGTGACCCTAAAGAGAACTATGAGGAAAAACACTTACCCCATAGTTCTCTTTTAACCCCTTCATGACTGAGCTTGTTTTTAGTTTCTGTTCGTAAATGACTGACACACTTTTGACATTTTTGCTGTGTGATTCTTCCACGTCAGTAATATACTTTCTTACAAAGTGCACCCACACATATTATATATTGTTTTTTAGAGGACAGATAGGGCTACATATTTATAATCACATATGTGTGTCTAATGCCTCACTTAGGACAAATAAAATATTAAAAAAAGAGGAAAAAAAACGTTAAAAAAAACTTTTCCCAGTTTTAATTTGTAGTATTTTTTTTACAAAACCAGCACAGCTAAAAAAAATGCAATAAATACATTAATTTATTTGTCCCTTATTTTATTTTTTACACTTCACTTTTTTTAAACGTAAAAATGTAATTTTATTTATTTAATTATATCAAGCAGTCATTGTGAATTAATCTCACTGTTACTGCTTGATAAATTAATACATTTTTGGTTATTATCAGGCTGCTTCAAACTTCAGAACAGCCGATAATAAGTTAGTGACACTAATCCTGCAGCAGTTCAGGATTCAGCTGTCACTAAAGGTTTTCTGATTGTTGCAACAACGATCAGCAAACAAACATTCTTCTTTCAGGAATAGACACATTATGTATCTATTCATGAAAGAAAAAAAAAAAAAAAGCCAGTATAGCTTGAGAGAGATATCTCTCTCGATCTATACGAGCTGTCAGAATGCCGGCCAAAGCCGTCATGTGTGTCCCTCTGCTTTGACTCCGACACCCGATATTAAGGTATCGGGTGTCTGAAAAAGGTTAACCCTTTCATTAATGAATGCCTCTGTAGTAAGGGCATCCATTAATGAATGTTAAAAGCTGATTCTCAGCGTTAACAGCCCTCTAAAGCAGCAAACAACTCGTCACGTACAGTGTACGTGACAAGTCATTTGGTCCCTTTGTGGCTGGACGTACAGTGTACTTCTCCCGTCACGAAGGGGTTAACTAATATTGCCCAAAAAATGCTCCTGAATTTGTTTTCTGCTGGGGCGATTAATATGTTTAATTTGCTGCTAAAACAGTTTGGCAAATGACAGACACAAGTGCTTATATTATTCAAAATCATCAGTTAGTGATTACTAAAATCTTTAATCCAAACAATATATATTGCAGTACTGCCAAGAAACAATAATAGAGTTAGATTAGAGTTGGGGCCGTAACAACAATGTTTTGATAAACAATTTCTGCCTCTTAAGGCCCCATTTACACGGGAAACGGCCGGCACATACAGTTCCGTGCACAGCCGTATCGGGCAACTGCCGGGAAGGACGGGTGCTGCGTGTGATTAGTACGCAGCCCCCATCCTTCTCTATAGGACTATGCAGCCGTACGCTCACCTGGCGTCCGAGCCAGGAAACCTGCACCCGCACTTGAGGTGAGCGTAAGGCTGCGTACTCCCATAGAGAAGGACGGGGGCTCTGTACTAATCACAGGCAGCACCTGTCCTTCCCGGGAGCTGAGCGATACGGCCGTGCACGCAGCACAGAGCTGTACGTGCCGGCTGATTCCTATGTGAATGGGGCCTAAAATATGCTTGCAGCTTTTAATACAATCGCATACCAACCTCATTGAAATCCAAAGATGAATCGTTGCAAAGGGCACAGATTGTAGCCAATTCCACCAAACCATCATACTGACCACACTGAACAATATGCTCATCTTTCAAGCTGTATAAATGTAAAAAACATTAAAGCAACCAAGAATGTAAATGATTAATAAGTAAAAATAAGAAACTGAGAACATGAAAAACTGTAAACAAGGTTGGCAACCTGTACAACCTAGCTTTATATATGATTTAAGCCTTGCAGTTCTTAGCCAAGATGTGGAATACATTATATCGATGGGATTAACTAAAGTTAATTAGAAAGCGTTCTGAAGGAATCCTACCACACTGTGATCCTTTCTGATTTAAAGCACCATAAAAATGTGCTAAAATGTTGTTACATTGTTCATTATATCAGTTATCAACACTGGAGTGGAGTTCCACTTGCAAGCAAACACATGTCCTATTTGCGTCCTCCTTATGTTGTTCAGATATCATGGTGGACATTGGCAATTCAGTAGTGGTTCGGCAGACAGTGAGTGACACAGAGAATGTGTTCCACTTGTCCCTATATGACTATTTTTTCTTCCTTTCAACTTCACCAGGAAATCGAACCAATACAACCCATAATACTTGCAATATGTACATGCAAGAGAAGTGTGTCTTATTGGTACTGTGGGTGCAGCTTAAAATCAAGCTTCCAAAGCACATTAAAAAACTTTTTGAACTGGACTAAAAAAATTACAATTAAAAAATACAATATGATTATATATATA